TCCATTTGTTGGAAAATGATTGAAACAAATTCTCTCCCTCCTCCTCTCCCTCTAGGTGTGTACTTGCCCCTTTTGTGGGAGCAGAGCTTCTGCTGGAAGAGCCCCATTGCTCTGGGCTACACGCGGGGCCACTTCTCAGCACTGGTGGCCATGGAGAACGATGGCTTTGACAATCGCGGCGCTGGCGCCAACCTAAACACAGATGATGACGTGACCGTCACGTTCCTACCGCTGGTCGACAGCGAGAGGAAACTGCTTCACATTCACTTCCTCTCAGCGCAGGAAGTAAGGACCAGATTTCTTGTTTGTCCCTTTGAATCTAGCTTATGATTGTTTTTTGTTACAAGCATGAAACCTGTTTACTTGTAATATTTGTGCAAGAGGTTTCTCTCCTCCGTGTCCTCCATCCCGCATCGTGATGTCAAAGATATAATATAATCCGTCCTGCAGGTTATGTCTTTAAAAAATGTTTTCTGGTTGGCTCATATCAATTTAAACTACTAAAATAAAAACACAGTTGCTTTTAAAAAATTATGCAATAATGGCAGGGGTCAAAGGTGCAAAGGGTAGATGGGGCGAGAGCAGGTTTCAGGTCTTCATTCATTGTTTGGCAGCCAAAAAAAGGTACGACTCAAAAATGGATAGAAACAGCTTTTTGCATGTTTTGTTCAGTATGTAGTACTCCTGAGATGACAGTAGCAAGCTAATTTGAGACCCCTGGTGCAAGAGACACATCTTCAGCAGGAGTGTGTATGAGCTCCTACGGTTAGACTGGTGATATGGCTCCCTCTGATGGCTGTATTTGTTTCTCCCTGTCCCTCAGATGGGTAATGAAGAGCAACAGGAGAAGCTGCTGCGGGAGTGGTTGGACTGCTGTGTGACAGAGGGCGGGGTTCTGGTGGCTCTTCAGAAAAGCTCCCGCCGCCGCAACCACCCGCTCGTCACCCAGATGGTGGAGAAGTGGCTGGATGGCTACCGGCAGATCCGCCCCTGCGCGTCTTTGTCTGACGGCGAAGAGGAGGAGGAGGACGACGACGAGTGACAAAACTGAAGTGGGGGGTGGGGGGAGGGGGCAGTCTGCGGGGGGGGGGGCAGGACACCTCCCCTGCTCCTTTCTCTTACAGTTTTTTTTTTCCTTTGATTTTTGTTTTCCTTTCCTGACACGGACAAACTGTGAAAGCCTTCAGGAGAGGACAGGGAACCACAGGCCCCCCCACCCACCTTCCACCTCTGACAGAAGACACTGCTACTCTTCTAGCACACGCAGGCACTTGGTTAACACTTAAAACACATTCAACACTTTACAGACTCCGCTGCTGCTCAGCACAGAATCGAGAGAATAAAGGTTTACGAATGCAAACGACCTTTTGATTTGTTTGATTTTCAAATGTAAAGGAAAAAAGGAAACTCTATCCATAGATGTAAATGCATGTGGTTGTTTAAAAAAAAAAAAAGAGTATAAGGAAATATACCAGCATTGACTCAAATCAACACTTTATATCTGTTCAGTGTGGGCACTGACAAAAGCACACTTCCAAATTGATCTTTTTGATGTTTTTCAAGTTGTATAAGAGTTGGCTTCTTTAGCATTTTGTTTTTGAATGGGCAGGGACAAAGCCAATAAATATCATTATCTTTAGAGAACCAGAGATTGTGTAATAATAAAAGACTTTAATCCTTATTAATAAGCACTGCACATTTATTAAAACATTTCTATATAAATACAGTATCATTGCTTGAATTAAGGTCATATATGAAGCTCTTGAAAAGGGAGATGTTCCCTTTACAAGTCGAATCTACACTCATTGAGGTTTCACACACAAACATTCATGTTGGATCTTTGGTTTACCTTTTTTTTTTTTTTTCAGACTGGTTGAACTGAGAAGTTGTATGTGTGTATGTGTGTGTGTGTGTGTGTGTGTGGTTTTTCTTCTCTGAACTACATATTTATTGTTTGGAAACTTATTTGAGCTAATAAGAGCTTTCTGTATTATTTTTTTTCTCTCCTTTTTGTGGTTTTGTTAATTATTCTCTCAATCTTGATGAAGACACATTGCACAGAAACACTGTTGCTGTGAGGAAAGAACCAATCATGAAATCATCAGTGAAAAGTTTACTTATGTTTAATGATTTAGTACCTCATCTGGATGCCTAAAATCTGGTGCTTTTTGTTTTTCTTGGGCAGACGTGTGTGGGAGTGAGACGCGTTCAATGTCGACATAAACCCAGAAGTCACACTTGTCTTGTTGTTTCCCCCCTTTTCCTACCCCCCCCATCCTTATAGCATTTGTTGTCACGGTCACCCTCATGGTACACGTCACTTCACCTCCTCTGCAACGCCTGTTTGTTGTCATTATGTGAAACCACCTTTATGTTTTTGATCAAGGTCGTTGTGAGAGACGGCAACATTTAAAACCAAAGCTGACAGGAAAAAAAAGAAAAAAACACAAGTTGTCGTTACTTTTTTTTTGCTGTGAATGTTTGCATTTTGTTTTTCCTTTGCCATTGCGTACTGTAACCCTCTTTCGTGTTTCATTCAAGTCATACACGTTTTTTGAGCATCACCTGTATGTTGCTTTGTATTTATGCAATAGTTGCAGTTGTGACTATGATGGTTTGTGGATTTAGGCCTGACTTCACTATACAGAGTGTAACGCAAAGAACAGGCAAATAAGGAAAAAAAATAAAGGAAAACCTTTTTGAATGTCCAACTAAACTGTTTTCTTTCTGATATTGTTAGCTAGTAATTCTGTTATTTCATTTATCGGTTAAAGCTGTTTTACATATTTAATTCAGATAAGAAACACTTAACCTGTCATCGTCATGTCGCTAGATTTCTCTTTAAATAGGAATTCTGTGTCACTTTCACAGTATGTTCTTGAAGCACATTTCTGTAGCACCCCCTAGTGGATTCAAAATGTGTGGCACGTAAGTATAAGCAGGTCAATTGAAAGTCATTATGAAACGAACACTTCTGACAAAATATTTGAATAAACAATATATAATGCACTATAATGTACTTGTAAGCAGATGTAAAGACATGTAGTATAAATGTGTTGGTAAAGTCATGATTATTAAGCTTGAAGGTCTGGGACTAATAATTATTTCCACTATCGATTACTCTGATGATGAATTCATAGTTTCTTCACAGTTTCCTAAAATTCAAGTTTTGTCCAACCAATGTTGGTTTGGGAGTTATCAAAATAGTTGCCTATTACCTTTCTTTTGATTGACTAATTGATTAATTAACTAATTGTTGTAGCTCATGTAATTATTATAGTCATTCAAGGTACACCAAGGTCTAGATTTCTTCTGGAACTTTCAGCCTTATCTTATGTCCTTCATCAGTGGATGGAGTTTGCTCAGTTGCCACTGAGAGTAAAGAGGAAGTATTTACAAATAAATCTAAATAAATAAAGACATATAATGGATATAATAATATAATAGTAAATTAAATAAATAAATACTTAATATTTAATCATCGTATCCAGTATGAAGACAAATGTTAAAAAATGTCAATCATTCATTAGTTGTTTATACACTAGTTACAGATGCTTCACAGTCAACTTATACATTAATAAACACTTAAAATGTTTATCTCCTTACAACTACAATATAGTGTGTTAACTTGCAGTAACTGATGGTAACACACTATCAGATAGTTCAGAGATTATTTGTAACATTTCAACTGTTTTTGTTTTGGCTGTAAATGTTAACCATATTATCTATTATATGTGACAATTTATGAATATACCCTGACCAAGAGTGGTGTAATATCAAACAACAGTTGCTGAATCTGTTGAAATGTTACAAATACTCTCTGCAGACAGACTATCCAAATGAAGTGTTACCTTTTTCACACTTGGGGGCAGCAGAAACAAGCTGTAAACACATCTGACATTAGATCTTTTCATTAGTTATTAGTTAATATGGTGATTCTTGGCATTAACTGTTGCTATGTATACACCCAGCAGTTACAGAGAAACATTAACATTCATTTTGAGTTGTGTTTGTGTCCACCTAACTTTGTCTGGTTCTACACAGAAAGTGTACAGTGGCCGATATTTTTTTTTCACAGGATGGCATGACGTTCCCCCTGCTCTGCCTAACCCTAACCAATCTCACTCCTCATGCCTAAATCTAACCAACCAAATCAATGAAAGCAACAAGTACTAGCCAATCAGAGGCAGAGTAGGGCAGGTCATGACTTCACCACCCTGTGAAAAAAGAAATTAGAGTAAAGTGGGGTTTTCTACAGCAGAAAACGACTCAGTGAGAGCGGGGAGAGTCGACCAAAACAATATTGTTTCAGGCCACTAATCGAATCACACACCTCATGGCTGACTAAGGTACTTTAAACCTGTTGGCATTCGACTGCTGCAATTGTTTCTCTACTCCTCTTAACTACATCTCACCACACATACACGATACACATATTTTTTAGATTTGAGGATATCATTATCGTTGATGTCCATCACTTATAAACAGTCATAAATCCACTTAGAAATCATAAAAAAGATGCATCTTATAACTCCAAAGAACCTGCCTGAGAATTAACACATTTATTAATTGTCTTCAGTATCAAAGTAAACCAGTGATATCTGTCTGTACATCAATGGATACACTGCAGACACCAACTGCTAATGGCTAATTCGGCATACTTTTAATGATGGTCTGCTTAAATGTAAACTAATATAGGGCTTAGGTATTAGCCCATAGCAAAACTCCATAATACTCATCCTGTTAACAAGCATTATGGGAACTGTATTTTTAAAAGTTGGAGCATGATTATCTACCTAGTAAAAGAAAGAATAATAGGTGCCAAAATCCATTTATATAATTTTTTTTTTATGTTAGCTGCACAATAAACTTATTTTTTGACATTTCTGACATTGACCATGTCACAATTTGAGAATTTAGAGGATTTTTAAGCAACTTTTAAATAAGTTAAAGCATCCAGGAGAATTAAATATCCCACAAATGTTCCACAGAGTCAATCATCAATCAGAACAGTAAGTTTTATTTATTGTTTCCAGCTGCACTGTATGCTATATGTTCACCTTGTACAAGAAACAAATACAAATACTCACACTAAAAACCAAACAATCTGCTAGCAGCCGTCTCTTGCTAACGTCGTGGGGCTAAAAGGAATGAATGTGGCTGCTGTTGTTCACAGAGGGCACGATGCCTCCGAGAGCCACAGCTGGATTTCATTAGAGCAGAAAAACAAAGAAACTATAAGGAGGAGAGGGTGGGGTCGTTCACATAAGACTATGATTATAAGAACATTTAACAAGGCAATACAAATCTAACAGGACTGAAAACCTTGAACATCAAAAAACGTACATTTGATATATAAAAAAATACCACAATGGAGAAAGAGGTGGAGACATGAAAAGCGATAATCCAGACTTGTTTTTTTTCCCCCCATTTCTGTTTAGATTTGGACATATTTGAGGGTTAATATTTTTTCCTGAGTCAGTAAGAGATTTTTTTTTTTTTCCCAAACACTTTCCTACCTCGCTAGCTGGTGCTGCAATGTACTGTAGGTCCTTTGGATGCGAACAGATAACATTTGGGACGCTGTTCGTGACAATAACCAAATATCGTAGGTACCTCAGTTCAGCAGAGTTGGAAAAGTTACAACAGCAATATTTAATTGAGATGACACACTCAACAGAAAATATCTAACCACGAATGGTCGTTTTCTTTTTTATCTTCTTGCCATTTTTTGGTTGAAAAGGGTCTTTTTTTTTTCTCTTTTTTTTTTACCTCATAAGCCAAAATATTCTTCCTGGAACTGGAAAACCACATCTGCTGCCCCGCATCTCGTCTCTACATTCAGGGGCCACCAGCCACGACGATTGGAAAAAAAGAAGCAAAGATGGAGTCCAGATTTTTCTGACAGAGACGGCAGATGCTGCTGTTGTCATCAGCTGACTTTTCTTGTCTGTTAAACATACGTGTAACTGTAAATCCATTCATTTTCACACACTGAAGAACAGAAAAACAAAAAAAAACAGATATTCACTTGCAACAGAAACACAGAATATAGGATAAACAGAAGAAAATAAAAAAAAACAAAAACAAAATAACACAGGACATTTTTGCGCTGAAATGGGTGAAACTGACGAGGGAGGAGGGAAAGCGGAGGCTCGACGGATCGTTTATTAAGTCCCTGTCCCTTCAGCCTCCCCCCTTTAAAAGTAGGGAGCGTGGGTCATGTTTCCATCCTGCACGTGGTAAAGTCAACGTGTCCCAGGAGTCAGGAGGAATTCTCCCTAAAATATACTCAAAAAAATAAAGATAAAAACAAAAACATCACTTAAATCAAGGACGAACAGAAACAGATTATGGAGGGGGGGGGGGGAGGTTTCCAATCTTCGGCGCATGAGTTTGACCGTCAGTACCATCTCAGTGTGGCAGCTCGTGTGTGTGTGTGTGTGTGTGTGTGTGTATTAACATCCGCTGTCCTCACTTGGGCTTAGTGGTTTCATACAAAAAGAAGACGTGTGAAACGTTGCCCGGCAGGCAGTCTGCTGGTAGGTTCAGATGGCTGAAGTCAAGCGTACAAGTTGGATGGTTGAGTTGGCCGGTCGCTGGGTTTTCTTTTAGTTTACATCAGGTTTTCAGCCCCCCTTTTGCTCGGTTGCGGCAGCAGTCCTACGGCTCAGTCATGTGCTCTCTCATGGGGTCGCCATGTTTGGAGGGTTGGTTGGGGGAGGTGGCCTGTGACGGATGGGTACCGGGGGGCAGGGTGTGGGCGATGGGCACTCCCCCAGGCACCAACCCCTCCATAGATCCGGGAATTCCGCCAGGGGCAACACCCACCACGCCAGGAGGGAATCTGGAGATGGACAGGAGGTGATCAGCAGGCGTGATAAAGAGGAAAGGAAAACTGGTGAACTGAAAGTCACTTTTTCTATTTAAAAGTATGCTGCTGCCATACGCCAAATTATTTTCCCACTACGAAGCGGAAAATAAAATGTTTTGCTTCTGATCATTACTGTCTGAAGTGGGATTTCAAAGCAACTTTAATTCATTAGAGTAAGCAAATACCAAATCAATACATGAGAGCTGTGAAATTTAAAATGAATTACATATACTGATGTACTTTTGGGGACACAAATGAACATTAAAAAGAATCAAAACATCTTGTTTTTTGGCAGGCTCACTAAGCATCATCAACTCTAAGAAACAAAATATTGAGTAATGGTTAAACAATGCAAGGAGCACTGCAGCATGGAGGCAATACATGAGAATATTAGGGCTCATACTCTGGTGCAGGGAAGTACTTTAAAGGGCCATTCACCCAAATTACAAAACAATATATGAGTTCTCACTTTCCCCCCCATTTAGCCATACAGATAGTTTTGGCTTGGAAGTTGATAAAAATACATTAAAACAGGAATAGAGTCCCCAGTAAGCGAGATATGTCTTTATAATTTGGGTGAAACCAATACTTTATTACAGGGAGCTGAAAGGAAAAAAGTGTGTGTGTGTGTGGGGGGGGGGGGGACTCTTATTGCAAACACAACAACTGATAATATTCCAGGTTTGTTGCTAGGGGTTTTCCTTGGTGAACTATAGCGTGACCCTTATCCCAGTTTCCCACCAAATGAGTATCTCTGTATCTTTCTCTCTTCCTCTCAGTGACTTAATTCCATGTCCTCTTCCTGTCGCTGAAAGAACTCCACAACTACAACCTTCCTGTTTTCTTTCTTTACCTGTCACTTCACTATTTAAAAGAAAAAGTATTATTTTAATCCTTCCACTTCTGACAATTTGTATCCTGAATCGCTGCTGAGAGAATAAAGGCAACTACTACTACTACTCTCGTTTTCCAGTCATATGTGGCTGTGACTGTATTGTAAATGTCCACCATTAGAGTGATCCTGTGTGCTATGTTTCAGTTTCAGGTTGGGGAGGGGGGAGTGTGTTTGGGGAATTGATGAGATGCTGGGTAGAGTGGGTACAGTTACAGCACATGTGAGTTAAGAGTGTGAAGCAGAAACAAAGGCTACAGATTTCAATGGAATTTGGTTTAATTAATGATGTTGTTCATTTGCCCTGGCCTGTGGGCCAGCAGTGGTAGTATTCATTTACCTGGTTGAGAATTAGGTATATAATTTGTCCTGCATTCCCCCCGTTGCTATGGCCTGTACCATGGTTTGGTTCACTCGGCTGTGTGAGAGAAGCAGTTCATTCTGGTTGAGACAATATAGAGACTGAGAAACGAAGAGCCTAAACTTAACAAGGGATAAATTCATTTGGGCCAATTCTATGTATAAATATGCCACAAAAACTAGGACCCAGCCTAATATTCAGGAAAAGAAAGTCAGAATTGTGACAAACATACATTTGAACATCTAGACTACCCCTCCCCCACGTGTTAAGCCTCATCTGCTGCAGGTGTCGAGGTGACACAGGTGATCTCTGTGCGATGAGAGCGGCCTTCTGGGTAAATCCACCTCCTACCTGTAGGCGGCACCATTGATCTCAGGGTGAACTTGTGGCTGCTGCTGCTCCATCATCCCCCAGGGTGCTGTGGTGACAAAGAACTCTTTGTTGACGCAGTTTCGGAGGCTGTCAGGAATACGGCCTGTGTCGGGGCGAGAGTGGACACTGGTGAGCTGAGGAAAAAGCAAAATGCGGGAATGCGTGCGATTAAAGACTTCTCCGTACCAGTGATGGCTCGGCGTATTTCTGTGGCGGCGGCTTCTCTCATCTCCAGCGACGCCTGCTCGCTGTACCAGGCGGTGTGGGGTGTGCAGATCAAGTTGGGGGCGTCTTTCAGAGGACCTTGGGAAAAACTGTTCAACAGTAAATGAAAGACAAAGATAAACACAGATTAAGGTATGCAAGAGGGAGAAAACACAGACACCAAACTGATTTTCTTGATATTACTGGGACTTCTGTACAGGGTTTCTGGAGGTTTCTACTGGATAGATTTAAGACTTTTTAAAACCATTATGAATGCAATTTCATTTCATGTCCATACTGGCAAAACTAAGGACTAAGGATATGAAGGAAAATCAGTATTGGTTCCATGTCGGTTTCATTTTTTAGTTGTTACAGGATAATAAATTCAAAATCACATTTAAAAGTGGGACTGAAATATGCAACTTTACAACTTTATGCAAGTAACATTAACACCATTAATCCAATCAACTTTTTAAGATGTGGATAAATCATATTTAAGATATTTTTAATAGGCCTAAAATTGGAATTACCAGAATTTAGTCTTTACTTTAAATTATTAGGGGGTATTAGCACATATTATTTTCCTTTTGTACATATTTGAGACTCTTCTCATGAACACTAAAGTCAAACCATGTTTTACAAACCAAACTGAATCAATTTGGTTAAAGGCTTTTTAGATATATTAGCTAATAGATCATAAACACCTGAAAGGCTCCGACTCGTGGACGTCCAATGCGGCTCCCCGTATCCTGCCTTCTTTCAGGGCCTGAGCCAAAGCTTTCTCATCCACCAGACCTCCCCGCGCCGAGTTGACCAGGAAAGCACCTTGACGCATCTATACACACACACACACACACACACACACACACACACACACACACACACACACACACACACACACACACACAGCAGCAGCGAGAGCACAGCGTTTATTTTCAGCATTCAACATTTCAACATGTGTGGCTTTGAGATTGCACACCCAGAGGTGCTGTTATAGCTCAATGCTGCGTGGGAAGAATTTCTTTCTTTTAAACCCAACATGGGGGGAAAAACAAGTGCTTTTCAAATAAAGAAAGACAAGACAACAAAAGGATATGGAAAGAAAGGGGACATTTAAGTGACACTAATCCCTTCATCTTCACAGAAGCTCTTCAGAATACTTAAAAACACCAGCATGTAAGAGATGGTGCAGATGAACATACATTGTATTTAACTTGATACTCTTTCTTATAAGCTAACAACACAATCAGTGAAGACATTCACTTTTGAAAGAGATGTCAGATTCAGCTGCACGGCTCCCAGTTATTAAAACCATGGAATTTAACACAACCCGCAGTTCATGTTACGTCCTCCAGGTGGCAGCGGTGGTCAGGAGAACGCTGAAAGGATAGCCATTACATTTTGGGGGTTAAAGCGCATGTCGTGGTTAGCTTAGCTGCTGATTCACCATGCCTAGCCTGGCAAGCCCACTCAGCTGGCAACTGTAACTTGGCCGGTTAGTAGCATTCCTTGGCTCGTCACCAACCGCGATATATTGGCAGCTCACAATAGGTGTGGTGTGCTCCTCAAAGTGTGCAAGTTCACAAACATACCATGGACTTTATACCATCTACCTGCTGATAAAAGCTCTTTTTTTTACTGGTTTATAATAAAAGAACATTAGATAAAATAATTACTGTGTTCTGTTTGGGTCCAAATGATGATTGAAATGTGTTACTAAGACATAAATGACACAATTCAGCCTTAAAGTCAGTAAACTTGGCTCGTTTTTTGGTGAACAAGCACACAAACATGCTCCTACGCCCACTACAGACACACACACACTTCGGCAATGTGTCACACTGACCTGAGAGTTATGAAAGAACAGAAACTGTGAGGAAGAACAGGCCGATTACAGCGAATCCTCCCACCACTTTACCGACGATAACGCAAAAAAAAATGTCAGCACCGCCATACACCCCAACATGTAAATCTCTCTGATTCTGACGCTGTTCTGTTTCTTTTGCATGTGCTTGTTCTGGGTATCTACCTACTCATTAAAAAGGTTGTTTAAACTGGAAGAACTGGAAGTTGCCAGCAGAGGAGCACTGGCAGCTAAGGAACGCCAGTGGCTAGCCAAGTCAGCTCCCAGTCTGCTGGGTTATAGCTGTACTACAAACCTCTGGGGATCATTAGCCTAGTGAGGAGAATGTGCAGCCTGCATTGGAGGGTAATGAGAAAGCTTCAGCCAATCGAGCTTTATCGGTTTTTGATTAATTACAGGCTGTGTCAGCTCCTCAGACCGTCATCTTTAATGAGAGATAGTAAAATCAGTTTCCTTTATCTTCCATCACCTGAGATTTACAATTACTTTCTACCTGTTTGATGGTGAAGTCGTTGATGAGGTGGTGGTTGTGTTCGTTCAGGTTGCAGTGCAGGGAGACGCAGTCGCTCTGGTAGAGCAGGTCCTGGAGCGTGTAGACTCGCTGAACGCCCAGCGAGCGCTCCAAGCCGTCCTGGAGGTAGGGGTCGTAGAAGATCACGTTGAAGCCGAACGCCTTGGCCCGCATTGCCACCGCCTGGCCTGATCGACCTGAGGTGGGCATGAAATGGACAGAAAGCACGGACTGAGAGACGAATCGGGTTCTAATAGCTTGTTTTTAATATTATTATTATATTATTATGATTAGTCTATTTGTTATTTGACAAAATTCTATTGCTTTAACATTCATGGACCCCAAGGGTGAAACCTACTGATTCTGTTGATCCCCTGACATTTCCTCTAACGTCACCAGCAGTTCAAAGTTTTCAATTATTCTGGGAGATAACTCAGCATCTACTGGATGGATCGGCACAAACTGTTATTGTTTCCAGACAATATATCCTAATAACTACTCTCCTGAGTTTCTGAGTGAAACCTCTCTACAACTATTTCATGGATTGCCAAGAAATTTGACATTCTGACACAAAATACATTTATGTTCCCTTCAAGATGAATTATAATCTGTGTTTAATGCTAATTAGCAACTATTAGCATGCTAACCCACTACACTAACTTGGTTCTAATAACATGGTAAACATTAGCCTATACCTAAACATCATGTTAGTACTGTCATTGTGAGCTTGTTAGCATTTAGCTCAAAGCACCGCTGTGTCCAGCCTCATAGAGCTGCTAGTGTGGCTGTAGACTCCGATTGGTTATTGGTCAATAATAAAAAGAAGATTTTTTGAAGCTCTAATGAGTACCAACAAATGGGTAAGCCAGAAAACAAAATAAAAACACAATAAAAGTAGGACTCTCACAATGTGTAAAGGGGCAGATAAATTAAGATACCTTTTCATATAGCTAAAAGAAGTTAAAAAAAAGTCCCTTTTTCTAGTAACTGAGACAGATCTCAAGAGTTATGGATATTCAGCCGCTGTCAACCAAAAAACAAACAATCCACTGTTTAAGGAGGACTGCCCACTCACCTTTGAGTATAAACAAAACAATAAGCAGGTCAAGTTTGGACATTCATTCTGAACTCCAGCCTCGAGCACAAACACTCCCACATATGCTACCATATGCTCTCGTTAACGCGACACCGAATACACTCTGAATGCACCCCCAAAGTAGCAGCTCACCAAATCCGATGAGGCCAAGCGTCTCTCCTCGGATCCTGGCCGCCCCCGACGCCACCTCCCGTATCTGCTCTACACTCTGGACCCGCGTGCCCTCCCGGAGAGCCTGGTACAGCCAGGTGTTTCGCCGGTACAGGTTGAGTATGTGACAAAGTGTTGAGTCTGCTGTTTCTTCTACCGCCGCTGAGGGAATATTGCACACCGCGATGCCTGGAAAAGATATGAGAGAGAAAAAAATAAGAAAACAAAAAGATCATCAAAGATGACAATGACATAGATACTTTAAATGACAAGTAACATAATTGCTCCACAGATTTAATTGTTATAATAGTTGGTTATAATTACTGTAGCTGTTTTGAAGAGAGATTCATCTGTAGTTCTTTTTTATTTCACAAAATAATTGGCAGGGAATGTATTTTCTTTATGACCTTCTACAAGATAAAAATGCAGTGTATAAAACTGAACTGTGAAGGATAAGATGATAATTATAACTGCTAATTATGCCCATGAAAAGAACATTTCTCAAAAAAAAAAAAAAGTCCACGTCAGCGTACTGAAATGTATTACCACAAACGACAATAATTAAGATATCACACTAAATCCTGCTCTCATACCAAACATATGCTGAAGGGGCCAAATGGGAATCTGAGGGAGAGTTTCATATCAGTTGGAGCATCTGCTCTGAATATTCAATCACTTCAATTACATATTCTGTTTACAGTATGTAATAATTCCTGTTACATATGTTGTTTATGTTAAGTCAATACAACAAGGAGAGTTTGGTTTGGCCCCTATCCAAAGGGTGCACTTTGCTTATCCATAATGCATCATTTCTGTTTTTGTTGATACATTCTTTATTCTTTTCCCCTCATGCGGCCATGAATGAATGAGCCATATGGGCAGAAACAACCCCCTCCTTGTTTATTATTCTCAGCATATGATTACTGCCTGCTTCTGAACAACCTCTCTTTTTACACCTATCTCCCTCCTCTTTTGTCCGCATCTGTCCCTCAGTCTCACCGAGCTCCCCGGCAGCCTTGATGTCGATGTTGTCGTAGCCGCTGCCGATGCGGATAATGATGCGCAGCGCCTTGAACTTCTCTAAGTCCTCTCTGGTCAGGGTGATGGTGTGGTACATCATGGCCCCTACAGCCTCATTCAGCACCTGAAGGGGACATAAGAGAGGAGGAGGCATCATCATCACTGTCTTAACAACATCAACGTTTCCCCAACAGTCATTAGCTGGATGGAAGAAAACTGGAACTTTGCATCTGCATTCATATTATGATCACAATGCCATTGTTGTTCTTAATCAGTATCATCCCTACATTCATATTCCGATGGTTCTTCCACAGCATTATGTATGAGCAACTTCTTGCGGCCAACATGAATAAGAAAGCATTTTCTGGACCTAAGTTTATGTCCACTATTCTTCATCTAAATGCAAATTGATTGTTTACGTGTGCTCTAAAATGTGAGTGGTTGTCTGTGTATGATGAGTGCTTGCCAAAGCTGGTTTTTGTCACAATCAATTCATTCAGACTGTATGCAAACAAGGTTGGAGTGGATGCAGGCAAGACCATAAAGTAGACTGACAGCCCCTGAGAAACTCAGGAAGCATAAGCAAGTAGCTGCTGCAAGCCCCGGCTGCTAAATAACAGGTTTAAATTCACAACCCACTAACTGAATTAACCTAATCCGGCTAGATTAGCATAGCCATGAATTTCCATACAACATTTTTTTTTATTGGAGCTAGCTGTAGAGGGAACTGGATGTTGAATTCAAGGTTAAAGCTCTCCTCGTGCATTAATCTCATTACTTGAGCGAAGCAGGCCAGTAGCAGGCTTGGCTGGGTGCTAGAAAATGACACAGAAATCACAGCGGACTGTTAAGCAACAGGAATATAAACTGAGAGCAAGTTAACATGAAGTGGAAAAAGTGAGCAAATGGGTTTTGTATTGTGTTAATTAGTTTGAGAACGCCTCTGCAGTTTGAGCTGGCATGCCACAGTGGATGTGCACCTTCACACTGTTCTGTACAGGGCTATTACCTACAGCAAAGAATCATGAATATTGCAAAGCACATAAAGCCCTTGACAATGGCAACACACTATGCTTATCCTACACCGGTGTAATGGCACGTCCACAAAGCTTTAAAGAAATACTCGAGCATGAATATTCATTTGTGGTTTAAGAGGGAGTTACATAGTATGAATATATAACAACAACTATGAAATAGAGAGTTTTCTATGTGTCGTAGGTGTGTTTTTGAGCTTTGGGGTGAGCCAGGTTAGCCTTTTCCCTGCTTTCAATCTTTATGTTAAGTTAATCACCTGTTGGCTCCAAATGCTGAAACAAAGACTAACTAATTAATACATTAGTTGATCATTTTTATTAAAACATAACCGCAATATTTATCACACTCCTGTTAGCACTCTTATCTTCTTTATCTGTGGATTTCGTAACATGTGTTATAAGATCGCAGGCTACTGGGCACAAGGATAGGTTTCTGAAGCTGGGAGCTCTGGTGTGAAATTAATCTGGGGAGCGCGCACTGGATGGAGGGACACGTAAGGGGGAACAATGGTTCAGTTTCAGCTGCGGACTTTTGTTGAATATCTCTCTCCCAACGTTTCCTGTCCATCACCACACTGTCAACTCTCAAATAAAAGGCCCAAAAATGCAAAAAAAATGCAAAAAATAAAATCAAAACACTGCCATTCTTGTATGACAAAGTACTGACATGCTCCATTTCTCTTGAAACATTCTTTTTGTCCTGATTGATGTAGTGCTTTTGGCTTGAGCGAGACGTGTCATTTTCTCAATTACATCCTCAACTGTGGTTGAGATTTTTAGTGCAATTTTACTTTAAAACAGCCGCACTTCAATAAAAAAGTGGTTACTGATACGGCGGTGTCAAAGGCACTTGAAAAACAGCTTTGTATCTTTCTGCAATTCAAAAAGTTGTATGTGTCTTTCCAAGGACAGTGCCGGATTAGTTAATAAACTATGAGTGCTTTCTAATAAATTTATTTTTAGTGTGTGCTCGACAGGGGCCACAAAAGTTTTGCAGGTCACCGCTGGCTTGCAGCTGCACTCTGGGAGCACAAGGCTGATTTCCTTAAGTGACAGATTCCTTAATCTCTGCATCTGCTCACTTTCAGGCAGCGCATGCAAAGAGACAGCAGCGTGCTTTTGTTTGCTCGCTTGGTGTGTCAGTTTGTCTATATACTTGTGTGTGAACAGTACTTCACTGCTGAAACTTTGCAAGTGAGGTTGCTGGCAAGTGTGTGTGCAAATATATATGTGTGTGTTTGTGTGTGTGTGTGTGTGTGTGTGTGTGTGTGTGTGTGTGTATGTATAGAGTGCCCCATCTGTACCCTCTGCTGTGCAGTTATAGTTATGGGAACGCTGCCAACATCTATTTTCCCAGATGGGTCCTCAGTATGTGTAATGTGTAACTATGAGAGCATCTTACTGGACAGGGAATGCTTGTGTTTGTGTGTGTGTGTGTGTGTGTGTGTGTGTGTGTGTGTGTGTGTGTGTGTGTGTGTGTGTGTGTGTGTGTGTGTGTGTGTGAGGCGAGAGAGCAAAAAAAGGGATAATATGAAGAAAACAAAACAAAAAGTCAGTATTTTTTTAGCATTTCTTCCATTTAGCCTCTAAATTCATATAAGTAAAATGAGAATGAGAATTTAGGACTGAAATTTATTTAACATGAAGTGTAAAGACACAAACCCTTAAGCTCGGATTGTAAAATTACCACAGACTGGCTCCAGTGTATAGGCAGTAAAATAAGACAAATGTTTCACCCACTCTGGCTCGGAACAATTATACTGCATTTCTATTACCAGCCTCCTCCTCCTCCTTATTTAACAAAGCAGCACTTCAGCACCCAGTGGGATTAGAGTCAGTGATGAAACCATTATAGTTGAACTGGGAGAGTGGAACAAGCCAGTGGGCTGAAATATTATTAAAACATTACAGAGGAGGAGACACAGAAGGAGGGAAAGAGACGATTCTTCTGCACTCAACTGAAGGAAAATTATTCAAGAATCATATTCAAAGTTCATACTATGTCAGTATCAAAGTGTGTGTGTGTTTGTTTCTCTCTCTCTCGGTGTGTGTGTGTGTGTGTGTGTGTCTGCTTATGAGTTCCTGCAGGTTGTACTACATCTGTTAGTGGTGCAGCATGCGGCACAGTCTGATGGTGTTTCTAGAGAGTACAATGTTATGTGGACTGACCTGTCCTGACACTAACACGTACTGTATGTTAAACTTACAAACTGTACTTCACTTCGTGTTTGTACATCTTCACTGTTTGCCACAGCTATAATGTAAAAGTCTGCAAAAGCTAAACAGTAAAAAAGAGACGTTGCATATAATTCCGATTGTCAAATACAATTATTTTTAACTTGGCTTTTTGGCTTTGTTTTTTGTCCTTCTTTCATTTCTTATTTAATTCCACGTAATCTATGCACTTGATTTTATGTCTTTTGAAGAGCACTGTGTGACTTGTTTTTGAAACGCGCTATTTAAATAATAATCTTTATATGACCAAGGCTCCCTTTGTAGGCTAATAGCTCCGTAAACAAGCGATTAAATAAACCTTGACTTTTAAAATATTTGCTCACATCCACGCTCATTATTATGATTATTATTATTAAAATAATAATCAAGACAGAAAGGAGAACAGTGTATGACTGTAGGAATCTTAGGACTATGTGAAGTTTATATATTTTTTTGCTTGGCTGAGTGAGTGAGGCAGATTCGAAATGCTTTCACTTTGTCTTTTAATGCCGTTTAATGTCTATGAGCTCCGGATTCCTTGAAGCAACACAAAAAAGGACACATAAAATTGACAGCAAGTCAGCAAGAACTAATTAAAGTTAATTAGATACATAAACAAAGGCTGCTAAAATGGCCTTATAAACAAGGAGCCTTCATGGCAAACACTTAAGATTGTGTAGGTAACAGTAAAGATATAAAATAAAACAAGTTTATTATAAAATAAAACAATTTACTACCAGTAAGACTTAAATTACACTTGAAAAAGCTGACGTATGTGAAGATATTTCTGTACCTTTTCATGTATTTCCTGTGTGGACTGGGCATCGCAGAAAGCCACGGTGGCCAGATCTTTGAGGATGGGCATCTCCACGGTGCAGTCGCGCCCGTCCAGCAGCGCCACCAGGGGGCGTGGGTGCATAGGCCCATTCATAATCTGGGGCCGAATACCTGCAGAGAGACGGGAGAGAGAGAAGAGAGGGAGTTAATTATTTATGTCTGGCACACACAGTCAAGTGAGCTGCAGAAGAAAGCAGTAAAATGTAGGAAATGCACCCAGCAGCAGGAAGTGTTTACACAGGCTGGGACTGTGTGTTTTTGCTTGTGTGATAGGCTAAATCAGTGGGGCGCACACACACACACACCACACACACACACACACACACACACACACACACACACACACACACACACACACACACACACACACACACACACACACACACAGTTCTCTACTTTAAACCACTATTATCATCTCCCTTACCTGGCAACACTGGTCGATATCACACACACACAGATACACAATGCTGATGATACGAATGCCCCCTCTCTTGCTGTTATCCACACTGTTACCAGGCAACAGGTCCTTTCACCCCATGAGGTCATCACCTCCATTATCCTATCACCGTACAGAAGCCGGCAGGCCTTCAGTGTGTGCCCCCAGTGTGTGTCTGCACCGTGTGCACAGTTTAGACCCTTAACAGAACCAGACTCGTTCTTTATTTTAAATCAGCAGGCACTCGATAATCAAATTCAAACTTGTGGTCATCTCCAGTTTTTTCTGGCTTTCTATCTTTATCCTCGCCATGTTGTCGAGTTGTGATACAGTTGCCCTTCAGGGAGAAGAGTGGCACAAACTGCTGGAAGCTAGAAATGTACCAGCATTGATGAACTGAGCGAGCGTCTCGCTCGACTCCTTCAAAGACCGACTGAATCAGTCGACTGTGTGTGAATGTGCCAAATAACTCACTTTTCCAAAAATCAATGTGATGTAAAATAGTGTAATATTGAGGGGAGAAAAATCTGACAGTGTGGACACGAATTCTACTAAAAGAAAAAAGAGGGAAAAAAGAGGGAGAAGAAAAAGGAGGGGGGGGTCCACACACCACCACTCTCTGGCTCCCTGCTGCCTGTTGTCATGGTGATTAGAGGATTTGGGCAGGATTATGAAATATTTTATTTAGTGACATCTGCGCTGCTGGAGAGGACATCCAAGCCTGCTCGCTCTATGTCTGTCTCTCTTACTCCTACAGTTTTGGGAAGGACAGTGTTTGTGACCTACACGACTACAACATGCTAACATATGTACTTTAAACAGATCCGATGCATATAATGGAAATAAAAATAAAAGAAGTGTGTGCAAATGTTGCAGTGTTTGAGTTATCAGGGCTTCAATTCTGCACCACTGGGTTAGTTTTTCTGCTCTGCACAGTTGATCAAAAAGGTTGCACTGATCAAAGTTTTAAGAAGATGGTATATTTTCTGGTACAAGTATACCAATTTAAAGGCCCGTACAAAAACTATTTTTCTCATTTAGCTTGTTACTATGAAGGCAAGTGTTTCTGTGAAAACAGTTTTGGACATTTTACAAGAGATTTTTGTATTTCTGCGCTCCTGGGCGGGGCTCAGTTGTGAAAAAAAAATGTTTTATGTCAGATATTTCCATGCACCGATCAAAGTTAAGCAAAATGTGAATCTAAATTTGATGCTGGTTGTTGTGTTTGTTGGCTGATGTTGCCATGCCACTGTCAATAAAAATGCAATCACAACACACCCACGCAGTCCAGATGAAGCCGATTAGTGAGAGTTAGAGCACTAAACTCTTTATAAATAAAAGCCAATGATGGCATTTTTCCAAACTGTAACTGTGAGTGTTGCTTATATGAATACTAAATATATGTAGACACTTACATTTGACATCCAGATTTCAATATCATGCGGGCCAAGTTGAACAAACTAGTCTTTGCAAAAAGTAAAAATGACATTACTTTTATAGCGAGCAAACTTCTGAATGCAATCTTATGCTAACTGTAGATTCAAATTATAGCTTTTACAGGTTACATCCACCTCTGTGGGCTTTTTTAAGTTCAGTAAATGCATGATGTTTCCAAAGTCAATGAGTAATCGCGTTAAACAATGGTGACCTCCACACTGACCAAAATAATCGAGCAGCCCTAGACACGCAAACACACCTACACAACATAATGAATAAAAGACTACCTGCACTAGAAATGAGAACAGGATTAATTAAAAAAAGAGCTCAGCAGTGTGTCATTAATATCATAGCTTTGACAAACTGACATACAAACTGTATTTTTTGGTGTTAATTCTCCTAATAACAGGTGGAGTTCTCTGCTTCTATCAAACCAAAGAGCAACGTGAACCGCATTCAGACATCTCAGAGACGAGACACTGAGGTGTGTATTAAAAGATCTCTACAAGCAGAGGTGACATGTAGGAGAAGAGTTCATCACTCGAGGTATTAATACAGGTGTAATAAAATATCTAAAAACATCCTATCACAATATTTTGTTTTGTGATGGATTCTCAAAACACTAAATTGATTTTTGTGTTCAAACCTCGAACCGCTAGATAGCAGTGTTGTAAACGTAAACTGAGGGCTATGGTGTTACAGGGACTGTGATAAATATAAATGCACATGCTACTGTAAAGTCTATATATATATATATATATATATATATCTCACCTTGGTTACAGTATCACAATATATTGGAATATATTGAATCTTAACCCCCTATATTGCCAGATTCTTGCCAGTACACAGCCCTGGGTATTAAAAGGACCAGTGTGGAGGATTCAGGGGTGAAGTTGCAGATTGCAACCATTTGAATACAGCTCCGCCTTCCAAGCGCAATGGAGAAACTACAGTGGCTGTGGAAAACATGAGAGGGCCTTAACTAGAGCCAGTGTTTGCTCTGTCCGTTCTGGGCTACTGTAGGAACATGGCGGTTCAATGTGGCGCCCTCCGTGGAAGAGGACCGGCTCCCTCTGTAGATAAAAATGGCTCATTCTAACAAAAACACAATAATTCTTATTTTCAGGTGATTATACAGTAAGGAAGATATACTAATGAACATTATATTCCATTTCAGCCAGTGTCTGACTAAACGTTACAGATCTAAAGATGAAGAACTAAAGATGAAGAACTAGGAAAACAGGGGGGCAGTGATGTGAGAGGGAAAACAATGTTGTCAGGGTTATCTCTACTTGGGTTTGAGACCTGACATTTTTAACAGATAGCCTGCGTTACAAACTGGAGTGTGGAGTTTAAAAGAACAGAGAATTTAAGAGGCAGGGCAGGTCTAATGAAAGAAGCTACTGAGTTGCAGTTTGGGAAATGAAGTGTACACCGTTTCTGGAGTTAGACACTAACAATCAGGATATCTTGGCCAGGTGTGGTTTCAATCTTTGTGCAAGTTCCCCAACTTAAAAATACTAAATCGCTGGAGTATCCCTTTAACCCGTACACACCGTCAGATCACTGCTGTCTGATCCAAATTTGACAACATATGATCACTGCTCTTCACATTTGGAAAGGCCTTCTTTGAGCAGTTCCAACCAGTGGAAAAATTATTAGCTCTCTGCTTTCATATTCTATGTTTTGCTTACTTTGTCTTCAGTGTTGATTTTATGAGGTGAGGGTTTTATAAGTGCTTTTCTGAGCAACTTTATAACTGTGTTTTATAAAATGCTCTAGACATAAAGAGATTCTTCTTTTTTTATTATATTTCATTACAATACAGCCATTAACAATATTATTATTGTGCAGCGTTCCTAATAAAAGCAGTGCTTCATGAAAGCCTAAATGGCATATCGGAAGAAAGAACGATGAGAAAAGAATAAAAGGTACTTGAAAGAAAAAGGTTAAGAGAAATAATGTGATAGAAGTGACCTCGATCTTTAGAGTATACGCTGAAAGCGTGCATTATTCTCACAGGAGGGAGTCATTGTGTGTGTGTCTGTGTGTGTGTGTCTGTTTGTGTGTGTGTGTGTGTGTGTGTGTGTGTGTGTGTGTGTGTGTGTGTGTGTGTGTGTGTGTGTGTGTGTGTGTGTGTGTGTGTGTGTGTGTGTGTGTGTGTGTGTGTGTGTGTGTGTGTGTGTGTTAGCAAGAGGAGGGTGGGGACTGCTTGCCAAACACACCTGTGGCTCCACAGCTCTCCCTGCGCCTCCTCATCACACTCCTACAGAGTTCATTATCACAGCTCAGACTCAGCTGAGGGAGGAAATACTTCTATCATCCAACAATCACACACACGAGGAAAATGCACTGCTACTCCAACAGACAAGGCCTGGAGAACACGCTCTGAGATGAAAGGAGAGACAAACGTGCAGTCGCTTATTTGTACACACGTGGACGAGAAGAAGCTGGTGGAAAAAGCAGCGTCACTTGAAGGAAGTAGGTCAAACGCTGCTGATTAATTATTTCCTGGTGGCTAATAGCCTTTCTCCAGCCTAATAAGGCAGAACGTGGCACAGCATTTAACACATGATGAATCTGTGGATAATTAACGCCTAACAAGGCTGTTAATGAGGGTCTTAATGATTCGGATACCTGGCTGGTGATTTGAAGGATCTTGTTGGTTTTGGATGGAAAGAACTTAATCTTCCCCCTCAGTCGCTCAGCCAGCGAAGAAGAAAAAACGGCGGGGTGTTTATCATGTGCAATTGTGTGTTTTGTTCATTTGAATGGAGTGAAGGTGAATGTGTGCTCGCTAAGAAACACACACTCTGTTGGACAGGTGTTGTTGACTGAGGCTCTGTAATGGCCTCTTGTCACCATCCCTCCAGGGATTGTCTGACACATCAAAGTTAATGAGTTTTCGGGGCTTTAATCTCTCTCCTCTCATTGTGAGAAGTAAACTACGCTACATTTCATCGGCATTCTGAAGTTCTTAAACTAATCAAAAAGTGACGGGCTTTAAGTGCACCAACAGTGCCAGGAGGGGCGGGTTATGTAGAAACGGGGCCGAGCAGACGGCGTATAGGTGCACTTGTGTCCTCTGTGTGCCCGTCACTCCTTTATTTAATTTCACAAAGGCCGCAAAGCAAACATTTCTTCTTCTCTTCTTCTTGCTAAATCCACATGTAGCAGCTGGCTGTGCCCCGGCTCAGAAAAATATTGGGGATGTATTTGAAACACCTCCAAGATGCACATTTGACCACAACTGAACATTATTTTCCGTCGTTTGCCACTCTTCTAGCTAGATGAGCCGTATTACTCAGATAAAGTGAGGCTGCCTTCAAGGAAATTCACTGCACTGTAGTCACTTGGACCTGCAGAGCTACTATGTGGTACTGTGTGAGTATTTGGTGTTGACCCAGCGGAGACTTCTTACCCTTTACTCTCCCGTATGTATATGTGGGTGTGTGTGTGTGTGTGAGTAGGTTTATATCTGTTGATTATGGGATGACGATTTGGGTTATGTTGACATCCTGAATGTGTTATTGTATAATTATGACAAAAGAAACCAAAACTAGTCTATGGTCTTCTTCAGGTGGCAAGTTATGGATTATTAACCTAGCAAAGGAACCTGAACACACACACACACACACACACACACACACACACACACACACACACACACACACACACACACACACACACACACACAGGGCACAAGGCAGCACTTGTAGGCCAGCTACTAAAGAATAAAAAAAACTGATCACATCTGGTTATTTTTCTTAACTTAACTCCTCTCTTGCCACTTTCTCTCTGTTTATATCCACCTCCCTCTCCCTGTCCCTCTGTTTCCCTCCCCGGTTGGACCGGCACCAGCCCGGGGAGTTCTGGCAGCAGCTTCCCAGCCGCCCCATCCAGCAGAAAGACCTGGACTCTAGAAAACCAAAAGCAGAGCCAGCCCTCTCCCTGTCAAACCACAGGGTCCCACCCAACACCAGACAGAACACCAGACTCATTTCTAAGCGGGACAAAAATGCACCACGGAGCCATTTTTCAAGTGCCTATTTGCTGTTACGTAAATTTCTGTGAGCAGCAGGAACAACGTGTCTAAAGATGGTTTACATTAGGCAGTAGGATATTTTGGCTGGTAGGCTTTCGGATAAAAATGCAAATTGCTTGTATCAATTTCCTGTTATTGTACATACCCAGAGTATTTATCATAGTACAGCAGCCAGCATTGTCTGTAAGCCAGCAAGTAATAAAGAAACAAAGCCAACAGCTTGACTAAATAAATCTAAACCGTGTTGAGTGTGACAGCAGATAGTCTTATCCAGTGGAGGTCATGTATTGTTACATCCCTCGAGGGAAGCTTGAATGGACTAAGGTTGATATCATCCTTTAGCCAGCGCTAATCACAAGCTGGATGATTGGACAGGAAGTATGAAAACTTTTGGCATAGCTGGCAAGAGCATACTTTCAACCACAAATGGATGACAGATGTTCCAAACTAAAAAGCCTTTTTGGATTCTGACAACAGAAATAGAAGTCATCTTTTTAAACGTTAAGTGAAACTCAAAAGAAATGTGTCTCTCCTTAGTGACTACGATCTGGTGTCTAATTCTCTCGTTTGGAAGGGGCGATCTTGGAAAAGCGGCTCGGCAGCAGCAGAAAGATGCCAGACACTATGAGTCAGAGTTTTCAGGGAGAGAAGGATCATTTCCTAAATAGAGCGCAAACAATCAATGAAAGAAAATAAACCTTAGCTCAAACTTGTGTTTCTCCCCTCGGGTTTGGAAACCAATCTTCAGAATTGCTATTTAATAACATTGCACTACATCAGTTATCTTTATTCCTCTGCTTTCTGACGGATTGTGCGCTCTCGGTTTTGTGGTTTCACGGATCTCCAACATGCCTCGGTTGGTTTACAAAGACTATTTCGCTTGGAAGTCAATGCACTCCCCTCAGATTTACTTTCGGCTTGTTTGTGAGGTTGTTACGTACTTTGAAAAGGTAAACGGTCCACTCTGGGACTGCAGAGTCGCATTAACTTACCTGCGCTATTGTGATTTCCTGAATAATTACACCGTGTACTCTGCCATCTCAAATCTCTGTTAATAGCCCTCTGAGACAGTTTAGTATCCTCGCCTCACAGAGAAGCGACACACTTTAGAGACTCTTTTATATCCTATAAATTACAGGTGAGTTCTTCTAGCAAGCCCTCGCCACCCACCAGCGTATTCTTTTCACTCTCCTTTTTGCCCTTTCTCGCTCCATTTCCCACCTCCTTCCCGCTAGTCGAAGAAAGGTGATGAAATGCTCCTAAATGACTCAAACTGGTGTGATACATGCCATGGACGCTCTCACACCGGGGTTGCAGCATCCGTGGAACAATAAAACTGTGAAAACAAAAGGAAGTGAGGAAGATTTTCCATGGCACGATGATGTCAGGACCACAGTGGCGGTCGCCGAGTTCACAGCAAGCTTTCAGAGAAAACTACTCTGCAGTTGACGCAGAGCCAAAACGGGCTCAACGGGCTTAGGACCAACAGCTGGTTCTGGTTACCTAGCAACTCCCAAGCTGGGGGCCTCAGTGATGGGATAGTCCGAGAGCGAGAGGAGGGGAGGGGGGGTGCGCACCGATAACCCAGTGGGGCTTTCTTTGTGGCAAGTGCAGCCAGTGAGAAAGGAAAAAAGCTGGATTTCATCAACTCTCGCCCCCCAAAAAGACAACGTGCCACAGGCCGCCCTACCTGGCAACCCAAACACGGAGGTCTGAAGTCCAGGCGTTAAGTGGCACGGTTGGTGTTTCTCTGCGGCATTTTCCAGGGAGGCATCAGGAACAAAAACATTCTCGCTGTGGCCCAACACAGCTCAGTACTGTGAGCGTGCACACACACACACCGACACACAGAGTTTGGCTGCACTTAGCTTCACACACACCCACAGATGATAACCATTAATGATCAGTGATTATCAGGATGTCACACATTTTGTTGAATAATATTTCCAAGGGCATTCACAGCTCTCAATGCCAATGCTCCCTTCTACTCTACGTCTGGTCTCTTAAGTGCTGGCTGTCCATGTCCACCTGCACGCTACTTAATGTAACAGCGATGTTACCCTAACTGTGCATACATGTTAACAAGAATCTGACGCCTGTATTCTTGGGAGTGTCCACTTTGGAGTGTGTTTACGATCCCCTGGCATCTGTAGAAAAAGAGGGGAAGTGTAATCTTTTTTTTTGGCAGACTTGCCTCCTCCAGGCCCCCACCGGACCCTATCAGCGCCCGGCTACACCGCCGCCACCCCAGCCTGTCTCTTGTTCCACTATGTGGACACACAAAGACCTTGTTTGTCCTCCCTCTCCTCCAAACTTATCACCACCCAAACGCCCAGCCAAGAGGGGCGAGGGAGGGAAGAGATAAAAGTGTGAGAGAGAAAGGCAGGGCGAAATTACATGTAAAAGTGGAAGTGAGACCAGGAGAAGAAAAGAAGCGAAACATGCTGACATAAAGATATCACAGGTGGTGTCAGTGGTAAACAGAGTGAGAGAGAAGAGCATCCATCCATCACCAGCTCCTCTTTAAACGTTGTCTTTTGTGCTTCGCTCGCGAGGCCTAAAAACAATTGTGGTCCTGAGACAAAAGCAGCTGTCAGTGCTGATGAACAGCGGACCGCACACTCCAGATTTACTTCACATGTGCACACACACCACACACACATAAACACACACAAAGTGAGTGTGTGCAGGTCGAGGGAGATAAGGAATCTAAGCTGTGTTACATCCACACAGGCACTGACAGTTACAAACCATGGATGCAAAATCAAGAAGTATGAAAGACATCTAACAGAAAATTCTAAATTATATGTAATTTTAAAAAAAAGCACATTGGTTTAAGCACATTGGTTTCTGGCAGGATTTTGTTTACCACTCTGATACGACAACACTGATTACAGTTAGTTTACAGTAAACAAGGTATTTTTGTGATGTTGACAGCTCTGAGAAAAACAAGGAGAGTTAGCTGCTGATTATGATAACAAGTGTTTTGTGGGCCAAATTATATTTTAATGATTTTTTTCACCAGGATATTACAGATTGTTTTTTTTTTTTATCGTTTCCAGTTGTTTTTTTAAGCATCAAAAACCAAAAACCAAAAATAACGAGCCCCAAATACATCTTTGTCTCCACAGTACGTGCCCAAATACATACCCTGTGACAGACAGCATTCACACACAAGAGCAACCATTAACCCTCACACAGGGCCACTTGTATGCCCATTCTTCTGTGACCTTTGACCCATCAAATGACAACCCATCTAATCTCACCCTCCTCTTGCTGCTGTGCAGAGTCATGTGGTTTCAGACCAAGGAAACACTGACACACTCACATGGGTGCCTGCCCTCATGTGCGCGCCACACACACACACACACACACACACACACACACACACACACACACACACACACACACACACACACACACACACACCTACACA